TTTCAGAAGTTTGAATTCTGAATATGACTTTTCCTTTAAACAACTTGGTTCCTGACTAACTCTGTGAACCGAAGGATACAGAGGATGAAGCAGAAATAGTTTTGAATCATCATATTTGTCTAAAAGCACAATAACTTGTAATTTTGTCTGATTTCTCCAGGTACTTTGAGGTGACGGATGGTTTCGATCACCTGCCCAGAGCTTTCTACCAACTGTTAAACTCCACCATCCTGCTGAACTCCAAGGTGAAGCTAATCGACCAAACGGGCGGCGGTAACGTGACTGTAACTTACGAGGACCGGCGTGACTCTGGGTCTCTGTCAAACCTGACGGTGGACTACGCCCTTGTTACGGCCACAGCCAAGGCCACCCTCTTCATCGACTTCCAGCCCCCCCTGTCCGGTGATAAGATGGAGGCCCTGCGCTCTGTTCATTACGCCAGCTCCACAAAGGTGGTGCTCAGCTTCAAAAAACGCTTCTGGGAGGAAGAGGGCATCAGAGGAGGGAAGAGCATCACCGACCGGCCTTCCCGCTTCATCTACTACCCCAGCCACAGTTTCCCAGGCACCACTGCGGGGGCCCTCCTGGCTTCCTACACCTGTTCCGATGACTCCACCCTCTTCCAGGGGATGAGTGAGGAGGACCTGATGGCTGTAGCTCTGGAGGACTTGGTGAAAATCCACGGGGAGTATATCCGACCGCTGTGCACCGGGGGGCTGGTGAAGAAGTGGGGCCTGGACCCTTACAGTCTTGGAGCCTTTGCCCTGTTCACGCCCTACCAGCAGGGACACTACGCCAGAGAGCTGTTCCAGAGCGAGGGACGCGTCCACTTCGCCGGGGAGCACACAGCGACCCCTCATGGCTGGATAGAAACTGCCATGAAGTCCGCTTTAAGAGCAGCCAAGAACATCAACAGCTTGACTCTGTAGCTTCATGTCTGTTCAAGATTTTTTACCTTTAACTTTTTTTACTCATCAGCTCCAAGATATTCACTGCTTCATCCTCAAATCTGATGTTATGTCTGTTTTATTGTGAAATGGAGAAATGAAGGAAACAAACAGTTGATAAAGTCACTGAAAGTTATGGTGGTTCTTGAACGGACGGCATCCCTGGAGAGCATTGAAGGGGTCATACAGGGCTCGATGTTAACCATCGCCCGATCTCTCGGGGCAAGTACTTTTTATTGTCGGGAGAGTACAAATTTCATTGCATTTGCCCGCCGGGCAAGTGCAATGATCGCAAAAAAAAATTATTTATCACTCAAAATTACTTTAAAATCACCAACATGCGCTGAAAACGACCCAGCCGGCGCCATTTTTGTTGTTTTGTACACATTCTCGCGTGATTTGAAAAAAAACGCGTGATTTTCTGCCAGAAGGCGTGATTTACTTGTGATTTTTGTCAATTTAGCGGTAATTTTGATGTAGTTACCAAAACGACAAACAAGCTAGAAAGCGCTATCATATGGCAGCCTTCTGTACAGTGATGCAGGTCATACATTAAAAAAATGTTCATTACATTTTTTTCTCTCAGACATTGGAGAGGTGCATTTAAATGTTATAGAGCTAAACATGTTAGATTGGTGACCTGTTATGTTATT